GGGTGGTACAACTATTTATGATAAAGGTAAACTATTGGAAGAGATCTGGTCAGATAAAATGATTTACGTATATATAATGACAGTTCCAACACATATTTACATCCTGGCCCAGGAAATATTCAGCTCTTGGTTTATCAATTACAGACTCACACCTTTTGAATGAATTTGAATCGTCAGTCCACAATAACCTCTGTGGAAGTGATCATTTTCCAACAGTATTATAGCCTGTGAACCCATCTGATATTGCCCCATTCTCAAGATGGAAATTTAAAAAAGCTAACTGGCATTTATATCAAACTCTGTGTTGTAACAGACTTAAACCTGAACTTATTATAAATGTTCCTGATGCGATAAAGGATTTTTCTGATGAACTAAAAAATATAGCTGATGAATGTATCCCCAAATCCTCTGCAATTCCACACATTCAAAAATGATGGTTCAACAATGAGTGCAAACAGGCTAGAAAGGCACGCAAGAAGTCTGAGCATTATTTCCGTTGCCATCCTATGGTCCATTATTTGAATACATTTAAAATTGTAAATGCTAAGGCATGACATACCTTCAAGCAAAGTAAACGTCAATCCTGGTGAAAATATGTGTCAAAAATAAATTCACGAACGCTGATATCAAAGGTATGATATGATCCAAAATATAAAAGGTAAAGGCTCTCAATCTAGCATTAAGCATCTTAAGACGGAGACGAATTCCTAACTAGTATAAATCCGATATAGCAAATAAACTTGGAGAAACACTGGCCCAAAATTATTCCTCGTCGAATTATGTACCTCAATTCCGAAAATATAAAACACAACAGGAAAAGAAAACTCGCACTCGCCGGAATCGTGTTTAGAGACCCTCTTAAACATTTTTGATGATATTTGGACGTCTGGACAATTTCCTTCTTCATGGCGCGATGCTATTATTGTACCCATCCCTAAACCTGGACGTGATCATACTAAATCTGATACTGATAATTATCGACCAATCTCACTAACTAGCTGCGTTTGCAAGACCATGGTACGCATGATACATAATCGAATTGTGTTGTACTTGGACAGTTAATAACCTTATAAGATATATTCAATGTGGTTTCCGTAAAAAACAGAAGTACCAGTCTGCGTTTAGAATCTGGATTGAGAGGCCGTTTGCCTCAATTTATATCCAACTTTTTAACTGACAGGCAATTTCAAGTCCGCGTGGGTTCTACCCTGATTATTACAATCAGGATCAGGGTGTCCCACAAGGCAGTATTTTGTCTGTCAATCTATTTAGTATTAAAATAAGTAGTCTTTCAAAGATTTTAAGTGATTCAATCGATGGATCCCTCTTTGTCGATGATCTGAATATTTCTTGCTGTGGTAAAAATATGCGAACTATTGAGAGACAATTACAAATTTGTCTCAACAAAATTAATAGATGGTGTATGGAAAACGGGTTTAAATTTTCAAAACCCAAACCCAATTGTATACATTTTTGTAGGAAATACTCACCCCATAAAGACCCTGAACTATCATTAAAAAGCACACCCATCAAAGTTGGCAAGGAAGCTAAATTAATTGGTCTCAACTTTGACTCGCATTTAACCGTTCTGCCACATATCAAACATCTAAAATCCAATGCCTGAAGGCACTCGACTTATTGCATGTCATTTCAAATTCAAACTGGGGAGGGGACCAAACTACACTCCTTCATTTGTATAGATCAAAAGTCCGATCGAAACTTGATTACGACTCCATCGTATATGGTGGGGGCTGTAAAAGCAGCCTCAAACTACTTGATTCTATCCATCACCAGGGTCTAAGACTTTCTCTTTTAGAACTTCTCCTGTTGACAGTCTTTACGTCGAGGCCGATGAGCTCTCTCTTAACCATCTCCGTATAAAACTATCCATACAGTATGTAACAAAAGTATAACGAGTCTAACCCTGCGTTCAGCTGTGTTTTCAGCTCTCTATATGAGGATCTATACAGCAAAGAGTCTTCTCTTGTTCTGCCTCTGGGACTAAGAGTCAAACCTTTCATTTTCGCTTCTGGCATTGGGCTAGAAAATATAGCTCCTTCCCTTTTTCTTTTTTCTCCCCCTTGGCATTTGGTGAGGTACGGAAGCGTAGTGGGGCCACGGTGAAATTCTTTTTTGGTCTTACTATCTCCTATGTAGTACTTAATATCTCCTACGTAGGGCTTAGTATCTCCTACGTAGGACTTAATATACTATGTCCTACGTAGGAGATACCCACTTAGGAGATACTAACTCCTACGTAGGACTTAATATCTCCTACGTAGGACGTAATATTTCCTACGTAGGACTTAGTATCTCCTATGTAGGAGTTAGTATCTCCTAAGTAGGTATCTCCTACATAGGACTTAATATATCCTACGTAGGACTTAGTATCTCCTAAGTGGGTATCTCCTACGTAGGACTTAGTATCGCCTACGTAGGACTTAGTATCTCCTACATAGGACTTAATATATCCTACGTAGGACTTAGTATCTCCTAAGTGGGTATCTCCTACGTAGGACATAGTATCTCCTACGTAGGACTTAGTGTCTCCTACGTAGAACTTAGTATCTCCTTCGTAGGACTTAATATCTCCTACGTAGGACTTAGTATCTCCTATGTAGGAGTTAGTATCTCCTAAGTGGGTATCTCCTACGTAGGACTTAATATCTTCTACGTAGGACTTAGTGTCTCCTACTTAGGACTTCGTATCTCCTACGTAGGACTTAGTATCTTCTACGTAGGACTTAATATGTCCTACGTAGGAGTTAGTATCTCCTAAGTGGGTATTTCCTACGTAGGACATAGTATCTCCTACGTAGGACTTAATATCTCTATGTCCTACGTAGGAGATACTAAGTCCTACGTAGGACATAGTATCTCCTACGTAGGACTTTATATCTCCTACTTAGTCATTTAGTATCTCCTACGTGGGACTTAATATCTCCTACGTAGGACTTACTATCTCCTACGTAGGACATAGTATCTCCTACGTAGTACTTAATATTTCCTGTAGGAGATAATCGATATACGGTTATATAGATTAATCTGAAACGGTCGACTTAAATCCCCGCGACACGCACACAATCTCCTGTTTCACTGTTCCAGTCACTGTGAGATTCTACAGTCATTCGTTTCATTCACTATTAGAGTCTACAGTTATGTGTTTCATTTACTGTTAGAGTCTACAGTTTCCTTCACTATTAGGGTCATGTGTTCAACTAATTGTTGCACATTACTGTGTTGGACCGACTGTTATACGTTAATGCCGTGTGTTCAGTTTGCTCTACTATTAGGCAATCTATGTGTACGTATCCCCTTATTTTTATACAAATAACTATAATGACAACTCTTTGCCTTTTTTAATTTCGTATTGTTTTACGCCGCACTCAACACTTGTACACTCCAGTCAATTCAACCTGTAAACAATTACGAAAAATGCTGCAAACGAGCGTTGCAACCGATCCAACCTAGCCCCATAAAGACAAGCAACAACTTGCGGAGGTCGTGTTATAACCGAGTTTCATATGAGAACCTCAACCCAACATAACATTAAACATAACCATACCCAAACCTCCATAACTGCAATTAGAACAGGGTCCACGTCACCCCTAACGTAATGCACACACAATAACACTGTATAGTAGCACTGCGTTAGTGTCATGAATATTCACTGACTCACATTTCGACTATCTAACTTCCTGCATAGCCAAACATTTATTAACTAAATAACCATACTTCATAATCCGAACCTTAAAAAGGATATATTAAGTACTACGTAGGAGATAGTAAGTCCTACGTAGGAGATACTAAGTCCCACGTAGGAGATACCCACTTAGGAGATACTAACTCCTACGTAGGAGATAGTATGCCCTACGTAGGAGATAGTAAGTCCTACGTTGGTGATACTAAGTCTTACGAAGGAGATACTAAGTCCTACGTAGGAGATACTAAGTCCTACGTAGGAGATACCCACTTAGGAGATACTAAGTACTACGTAGGAGATAGTGACCCAAAAAAAATATTTCACCGTGGCCCTACTACGCTTCCGTAGTGAGGCCACAATTTGACCTAACACTGACAAAGTTTAAAAAATCTGAAACTAACGAATAACAATATAAACAAGAATATAAACAATTGAAAAGTACATTTAATACATACAAATCCTTTTTACAGATGTGTCCAAGGATGGTGGCGCAGAACAAGCCATATTAACAGCGCTTAAATATATATAAATATATATTCTGACAAACATCCATTATTAATTAGATTATTGAATTATTTAATGATCTTCCTACTGGCCAATAGGACATCTGTTGATTACCAGCCATGTTGTCATATCTGAGTAACACAATGGCCGATCTTGCTGCTAAGGCAGCACTCAACAAATCTGTGACACCACTTCTCATCCCATACTCTGATTACAAAGCTGTCACTAGAACTTATATCCGTGATCTGATGCAGAAGAAGTGGGACACCCAAGTAGGTGTAAATAAATTACATGAAATAAAACCCTATATTGGTTATACCTGCTTAGCACGTGATTTGTCAGTCAGATTTGAAGAAGTCATCATGCGACGATGTCGTGTATTGGCCAAACAAGATATACTCATGAATACCTATTGATAGGTGAGGATCCTCCGTTTTGAATCTTTTGTGATGAAAGAATCACGGTCTAAGTTTGTCTTGCTTAACTGTGTTGAATATTCCATCACAAGGAAGAACTATTTCAAATCACGAACTATGAAGGATCTTTTTAATAATATCAGTTCTAATTTAATTATTGCATTTTAAGAAGAGTTAAATTTGTTTAATGATTTGTAAATAGGTAAGTATTTTATCATTGAAGTTTGAATTAATAACTCAGATTGTTAGTGGCTGTATGCTCGAGGCGGGTTAAAGTACAGTAAAGTTATTTTCCTCCTGAGAGGGTACGTAAGTCCCAAGACATTCCCAGTAAATGAAAACCCCACCTTTTTAATCGTAGAATATATGTAATTGTACTATTTGGCTAGATTTGTCTCATTTGCTAACAGCTGACGGGATGATGTAAATCCAGCTAGGGCCAATGCAGGAAGCAAATGTACTGTAAGTCCCGATGGTCCCTAGTATAGTGATCTACCTTCAGTTGTTGGCAAAATATAGCCTGTTTTATATTGTATTGTCATCTATAGTTAAACTGTTTTACATCTAATTACTAGTTTTAAATTTGAATCTGTGATAATCTAGTTATTTTACTGTCCTTCGTTGACAGGTTTTTACAATCTGCCATTAACTACTGTGTATACAATTAATTCTTCTCGTCACGATATGGCTGAAATATTGCCGATGTTATGAAAAAGTTTAACTCACTCACTCACCCACTCCTCAGTAAGCACAAAGTGTGTCTCCTTCCAGTATGTGCAGGTTGTAGTATCTGTCTGTAGTACAACAGTCCGATGCTACCACGAACGGAAAGGAGCGATGGGTTCAGTATAGAAATGATGTATCTATGACTTAGCCAACAGTTGGGGTAGGTATTGACCCTTGCGCAACCCACATCATCGACGGTGGCATATCCGTAGTCAGAAGCTGCGCTGCCGGGGACGTATACGGCGCCAAGGTAACCAACAGGTGGCTGTTTGTTCTGACAATGATGTCTCCGCAGACATACGATGACAGCGAGGACGTTGATGAGGATCACGACGGCACCTACAGTTCCGGCAATGACAACTGTGGGCAGCAATATTCCTCTGCAAAAAACATCTGTCAGAAACGTCTACAGAATTGGTTACAATATATTCCATGTGTGGGAGATCTGAGCTTCCAATGGCGTATTACTGTTCACCTATTTTTGCGACCACCTGCCGTCCAGTGATCACGCAAATAACCCCATCGTTATTTTACATTGTAAACTTAAGGAGGATGTTTTAACGTATAATCGAGTCCCGCTTCAAACGGTTCATAAACGTGAAGTTCCGGTTAGAATATTCATCTTCAGTAACCCATGCTTGTCGTAAGGAGGCGACTAACAGGGTTGGGTGGTCAAGGTTCGCTGACTTGGATGACACGCGTCATACGTTACCAATTGCGCAGATCGATGGTCATGCTGTTGATCACTTGATTGTCTGGTCCAGACTCGATTATTTACAGACCGCCGCCAGTTAGCTGGAATATTGCTGAGTGCAGCATACAACTAACCTCCTCCTCACTCACTCACTCACTCACTCAAACGGTTCATACAATTGAAATGTATATAAAGGAATATAATATTTACACCTGGCGCACGTCATCACGTCAAGTCATATTACGACACTGCATTACTTTCCTCTTGTGATAGATCCACTATCGAGGCCTGATTATCAGGGTGGAAATAACCCACTGGACGACGCCCCATTCCAGTGGGGTTTTTGTTTTCTGTCGGGCAAGCAATTGGTTTGTTAGACTGTACCGGTGTCCAGTTGACTTTCCCATGTTAATTATGTTGTTTATCTAAAACAAATCAACAAGAAAATCGGCCAGTATAGTGGACAAATTATCAGGGCAAGTGATTTTACATGTGCCACTGTACCGGAAGTACACTAGCAATTTTAAAGTTATTTCCACCCTGTTATCTTGTATGCTTCATGTTCAGTCACCATCAAGAGCATGGATTATACATTTTAACAGGCAGTTTAATGTCAACTATTTCTGCAGTGGATGGACAGTGACATACCTTTACCACTTGTACTGTCGTCGTCAAAGGTTTTCACCAGCCCTGAAATGTAAGCAGGTAACAGCAGGGGTTGAACGTGACTAAGGAAATATGAGAACAGGTCAAAAGGGACAAAAGGACAAAAAGGCCAAAATTGAAAAGATGAAAAGGGCCAAAGCACTAAGCCCTGCTGCACTCCTGAACTTGTGTTCACGGATCTATGGCCCCACCGCGTCAATGGAATGATTGATGTGCATGAGGATGTGTGGAGTGATGATGTCTGTAGTGAACTTTCAAAATATGTGAATTATGAAGAGTTGAACCACTTATGAATAATCTTTGATCACATATGAACAGTCGAATGTATGATGATCGCACTATATATCATTACTGGTGTTACTATTCTAGCCACATAAAGAAACTGTGCATTGTCAAAATATTATCCCAGTTAATAAGTACGATAACAATGTCAAAGGTACATATAAACTTTAATGGAGGGATCATGAGACCATAACAAGTCGGGAGAATTTCAATTCAATTGTCCACAAGCGGGACAGGGGTAAAACGACCATGTCACAAGCTCAATAACGGGTATGTCCACCATCCTCAGTGAGAACAGCAGTGCATCGACGATGCATAGAGCCTATCAAACGTGCAAGGAAGGCTTGTGGGATGTCACGCCAGATTCTCTCAAGTTCTGTTGCAAGGTCAAGGACGTTATTTGGCGGATGAGGAAGACGGCGTAGACGTCGATCCATCTCGTCTCAAACATGCTCTGTCGGGGAGTAAGTCAACGTTGTGGTGTTGCAAGAAATCCATAGCAACCCTTGCCATATGAGGGCGGACATTGTCCTGTTGGAATGTTAACCAAGGGCCATGACGTTGCAGAAAAGGAATTGCCACAGGTCGAAGAATCTGATCCCTATAGCCCAAACCAGTTAAGTTGCCCTGAACAATCACCAAAGGAGTTCTTTGGGGTGCTGTTATTCCACCCCAAATCATCACGGAACTACCACCAAAGCGATTCCTCTCCAAGACACAGGCCTGTGCATAACGTTCTCCCACGCGTCTATAGGCACGTTGACGTCAATCACTATGGGAAATGTTAAACCTGGACTCATCTGTAAAAACAACATTTCTCCACCAAAACAAGGGTCTGCGGACATGATTTCGGCACCACATTCGGCGAGCTTGTCGATGACGTTGTGTCAGGATAGGCCGTATGGCGGGACGTCGTGGTCTGATCCCGTGATGACGTAAACGTTGTTGAACTGTGTTGGGGTGGATACGGCGAAGTCGTGGGATGGTTCGGGCAGTCATCACTGCAGTCTGAAACCTGTGGCGAAGATGGGTCACCCTTATCCATATGTCCTGTCTTGGCGTTGTTACACGTGGACGTCAGGAACGTGGCCGATCGATGACGTCATTTGTGTTCTGGTAGCGTCTCACCAGTGCAGAAATGGTGTTCCGGTGGCAGTGGAAATGTGCAGCCACTTGTTGAGATATTCCCCCACGAACCATCCCAATGGCCTCATGACGTTGTGCAGACGTGAGCCTTGACATGCTATGCGTTTCAATAGCCGTTTAATTTTTTGAACGATCGCAAGAGCAGGGGTTGAGCTTTCCAAAGTGACGGTATTGTGTGGCATTAATTTGCTCTGTTTCTCTTTCCCGGAATGCACGTGCAACAACGTATTGCACGTCTCAAGGACGAACCCACTGACGTCACGGAACGTGGCACGTGAATGCATGTTGGATACATGTCACTAATCTCTGCGTTTGAATCCTTATGTGCCTAGTATACATATTGATACAAATATGATAAAACAGTATGTTCTTTTTGGAATTTGATCTACGGCCCTTTTCACTTAAGTCTATGACCCTTTTGACTTTTCTTTGACCCTTTTGACTTTTCTTTGGCCCATTTAAATTTTTCAATTTTGCCCCTTTTGTCCTTTGGCCATTTTGACTACAATCAGGGGAATATAAACAATGTCGGCAATACATGAAACAGCATACCAGGAGAGTTGAACTGTTTCATATCATTTGGTATCTAAGAGCAAAGTAAGAAGGACTGTCATGCATTTTCTATTGACATGAACTGGGATCGCACATTAACTGCTGTATCAAATGACTGTTACAATTACAGGTCTCTACCAAAACTACTCACTATCTCTACAGTTTCACACCAACTGTCCAATGATAATGACGTACCTTTCAATGACGTCACGGAACGCCATGTATTGACGTCTTAGTCAGTAACTTTGGCTCAGTGAACTCAAACTAACTGATTCCGTAGGCAAAGAGTGTACACGTTTTTCTTATCATTGAATATATTATCTTGTCTCACATCACATCAAAATATGCCGCCACATCATATCGCATCACACCATGTCAGGTCAAATTACATTTCACTGCCATATCACGTCGGTTCATTTCATGTAACAATCCATTAACACAACGTCGTCATGAATCCATGAATTCATGCACTGACACTATATGTAAGAAATCTTACTGCAACGTCACATCACGTCACGTCATATTACTGCAAAGGTATTACTTTCAGCGAGGGGCGGTGGGGTAGCCCTATTGGTTAAAACGTTCGCTCATCACGCCGAAGACCCTCTTTGGATTTCCACATGGGTACAATGTGTGAAACCCATTTATGGTGTTCCCCTCCGTGATATTGCTGGAATATTGCTAAAAGCGGCGTAAAACCATATTCAGTCACTAACTACTTTCACCGACAGACTCATGACATGTAACGTCATGTCACGTCCTTTCAGCTTCCGTCACCTTCATTACCTTACATCGCTTCATGCCAAGCCACGTGATGCCATGTGTCATCATTCTACCATCTTATCCAATATCAGCATCCATGAATTAAACCTGTGTTCAACATTCAAATTGTATTACACTCACTCAGTTGTTGAATCTCTTCACATGGTAACGCTTGTCTGTATCCTCCACAGATGAAGACCAGTTTCACTTCCCCGAGGTGGGACTCAGTCAGATTGAATATGACATCTGTGTTCACCGTCCATTGTGAGCTGTTCCAACCCGTTTGAATGTTTCCTGTTTGCAACTGAAACTGGACCGACTCAGAACAGTAGTCTCCAGTTACGTTCACCTTCAACGCCACTTCCTCGTCCCCGGTGAAGTCACTGTCATCATTCTGCCTTCTTGTTATAGTGCATGCTGGGAATTCTGTAACAAATCAAGTCCAGTTAGCAAATGTTTTCGCCAGCCGTAAAGATTGCAGTGGAGGTACACGTGGCTGATTCATTAGCCTGCTGGGGTCAAGTTAAGCGGTGAAATAGATTGCTGTGCGTAATAAGGTGACCTGCATGTACGTGATGCGTGTCTGTAGCCGCCTTGGTTCTATTATTCATCCATATCTCATCACCATATCAACACCAACACATCCATATGCCATCGCACCACGTCACCATCAACAAATCCGTATATCCTATCACACCACGTCACCATCAACACATCCATGTTCCATCACACCATATTGACGCATCAACATCCATGTCCATCCAAAATCGTCATCAACACATCCATATCTCATCACACCATGTGTTGTACATCAGCGAGTCCATATCCTATCACCACGTCACCATCAACACATCCATACCCCATCACACCACGTCACCATCAACTGCATCCATATCCCATCGCACCGTTCGACAATACATCCATATCCCATCGCACCACGTCAACACGAACCCATCCATATCCATCACACTACGTTGACATCAACCCATCCATATCCCGCCACACCACGTCAACACGAACCCATCCATATCCCATCACGCAACGTCAACACGAACCCTTCCATATCCCATCACACAACGTCAACACGAACCCATCCATATCCCATCACACCACGTCAACACGAACCCATCCATATCCCATCACACCACGTCAACACGAACCCATCCATATCCCCTCACACCACGTTGACATCAACCCATCCATATCCCACCACACCACGACAACACAACCCATCCATATCCCATCACGCCACGTCAACACGAACCCATCCATATCCTATCACACCACGTTGACATCAACCAGTCCATATCCCCTCACACCACGTTGACATCAACCCATCCATATCCTCTCACACCTCGTTGACATCAAAACACCATGTGTACATCAACAGATCCATATCCTATCACACCACGTCACCATCAACACATCCATACCCCATCACACCACGTCACCATCAACACATCCATACCCCATCACACCACGTCACCATCAACACTTCCATATCCCATCACACCACGTTGACATCAACACATCCATATCCCATCACGCCTTGCCACCATCAACACACCCATATCCCATCACCTCACGTCGACATGAAAACATCCATATCCCATCACACCACGTTGACATTAACATATCCATATCCTATCACCTCATGTCAACAGCATCGCATCCATATCCCATCACACCACGCTGACATCAACATATCCATATCCTTCACACCACGTTGACATCAACATATCCATATCCTCACCTTGTTGACATCAACGCACCATGTCTGCATCAACGCATCCATATCTCAACTGCACCACGTTCATCAACGCATCCATATCCATCCGCACCACGTCAACACGAAACCATCCTTATCCATCAGGCCATGCTGCATGAATCAACCCATCCATATCCCATCACACCTCGTCAACATCAACCCATCCATATCCCAACCCACCTCGTTGACATCAACACACCCATATCCCATCACAGCATGTCATCAACCCATCCATTCCGGACGATTATCAGTTTGCGGTGAACAAAGAACATGTTCCTGATATAGTCGGATTCAGCATATACAATCGGCCGTGCCTTTAACATAGCATAGATAGTTACAGTGATATCACTATTAGATTGTAATCTCAGTGGTGACTACGACCTGTGTTTTTAATGATTGTTTTAGGGTTTCATCACGCAAATAGAAGTCAGCTGTTTCAAAGCAAAGAAATAACTATCAATCCTTTAATGAAGCAGCAGTTATCATTGTATTTCTTACACAAAGGTACCTGTTATTCAGACTACATGCAGCTTCCTGTTGTTCGGATGGGTGTCTATGTGTGTTCAGAGCTTGACATGACAACATCACATATATGTACAAGCCTAATACTGAATACAGCTGATGAAGAGTATCTACATTGTGTCAATGCTTAGTAGAAGATCAATAAACACACGTCTACCTTGCCACAGGACCCGGGAAGATCCGGGTTAGAATATTGATCTTCAGTAACCCATGCTTGTCGTAAAAGGCGACTAAAGGGATCGGGTGGTCAGGCTCGCTGACTTGGTTGACACATGTCATCGGTTCCCAATTGCTCAGATCGATGCTCATGCTGTTGATCACTGGATTGTCTGCTCCAGACTCGATTATTTACAGACCGCCGCCATATAGCTGGAATAGTGTGGCATAAAACTAAACTCACTCACTCACTTGCCAGTCATCTGGCAGCCAGGAAAACAACAAACACCTGTACATGATGTCTACTTACTTACCACAGTCATCTGACAGGACGGACAACAACAAACACCTGTACATGATGTCTGCTTACTTGCCACAGTCATCTGGCAGCCAGGACAACAACAAACACATGTACATGATGTCTACTTACTTGCCACAGTCATCGGGCAGCTTGAACAACAACAAACACGTGTACATGATGTCTACTTACTTGCCACAGTCATCTGGCAGCTAGGAGGATCGGGCATATCGCCATCACTGCTACACATCCAGGTACCAGCGTGTGACTTCAACAAGACAGGTATGGTGAGAACACTGGAGGTGGTATTGATGACAGACGCTGTGAAGTTGCCAGTGTTTATGCAATACCCAGCTGTTGTGTTACATGATCCTGCTGTGTGTCCATTGGGTGTTATGAAGGAGTGGCTTCTACTTGCTTCTATGCAGGTCAGGTTTGTGGGAGCCCCAAGCAGACCGATTTCTGGACACAATATCCTTCCCTCCACCGCAACTGCTGGTGTCAGTGAAAGTAAATAGACATATGTCGGTTAAAGGAAACATTAGCCTCCTTGGGAGTATATGCATTTAGTTATATTAGAATATTAACGATTAGTTAATTTGTTATGACTAATGTCAAATATCAAAAGTGCTTTTGAAAGGAACAGATTTGTTGGAGTGTCAAGCAGCCATGAATACACAATGGTATTTAGAAAGTGGTGAAATGTAACATATTCTATGTTTGGGATTACGCTTTCTCAATAAAGTATAGATTCTAATATTTCCGTTTGTTTGAGTCCTATCGGGTTCGAACCCATACGCTCAAAGCCAGGTACCTGATCGCCAGCACACAAAGTCTGCCGCACAACCCGCTCACCCTGCGGCTTCTCAAACGAACAGTTTCAGGACACAATATCCGTCCTCATCAGTACGTCAGTGTGTCAGTGAAAGTATATTACGTTAAGGAAACGTTAATGTCGCTTTGTCAAATAAACTCGCGGGCGAAAAGAAACGTCACCTTGCTTTTTTAACAGGTCACACACACAAAACTCAGATTTTGGAAATTTAACAATCATATGTGAAAGATTAATGGATTTACAACATTCTGGATGATGAAAGTGTGAACTACAGATATGAATAATCACTACGTGTACGATAAAAGAAAAAAAATAGTCATTTTGGTGACGTTTCTTTCGTCCGTAAGGTTATATAATCTTTATGAGCTGCATGATGAAACACACACTGGTACAGACAACATACCAGTTACAAGAAGCACAAAGGTAATGGCGCCCATCACTGGTGCAGGGGCTCTGTTCAGTAAGTAGCCTGTAAGTAAAGAGTTACGAATGATAGGGTATTCATATCTATAGCCACAATCAATTCAAGCAGACAAGGGGCGGTGGGGTAGCCTAATGGTTAAAGCGCCCCTCGTCACGCTGAAACCCGTTTTTGATTCCCCCCACATGGGTAAAATGGTGTCCCCAGCTGTGATATTGCTGGAATAGTGCTGAAAGTGGTGTAAAACTACACACACTCACTCACAAGCAAACAAACAAAACTAATGTTAAGACCTTCTAAACTTCAAAGGGCTGTTCTTTTAATGTTTTTCATTTCAGATGTTAGGTCTATGAATGGCATTTAGAAGTTATACACATAAGGAAGAGAGTTTAATGCATGTTAACTTCTTTATTATGAGAGAACACAATGTTTCGGGGTATATCCTTACTCCTTGTATGAGTGAGTGTGGTGAGTGAGTGAAGTGAAGGTAGTGAGTGAGTTAAAAGTTACATCGGTAATATTTCAATAAGCCATCAATATCGTGACTAAACCTAGTTAAAATTCATAATACATACATGTAATACATAAAATCCTGTCAACGCAGGACAGTACTAGATCCTCGTTGGTTTCACAAAATTCTTAGAGGTTTTACAAAATCCCTCAAAATCGACAATTTTATTTGACATATTCCCTTAAATGAATATGGCGCATTCTCGGTGTTTGTTTTCACAATACTGCTTGTATTAAAGTACAGACAAAACGTGTCAAAATCATAAGAAAAATACCCTTAATAGATTTAAAATAGCTGTATAAATATGTCATAAAAATATCAAATAATTCAATGAAAATCAAAGAAAAATAACCTTTATAGATTTAAAATAGTTGCATAAATATGTCATATAAAATATCAGCTAATTTGACATATTCACTGTTACATATAGATAACTGTTTCTGGGTGAGACAGTCCGAATCGGGAGAGGCTGGAACATGGCATAAACCAATTTGCTTAAGATTACCAGAAAGTATGCAGAAAAATATAACATAAAAACAGTTGCATTTGTCTCATTTTCTAGGTCGAGACCGACTACTTTTGACCGACACTCAATTAATTAATGTCCCTGTAGTGAAAGTTTACCTTCACAATTATTCAAACAAAACGACAATTTAAGTATTTATAATAAATCAATAATTAACGGAATCATATACGACCTAAACATACTAGTACTTACTTTACCAATTCGCAGAGCTGATCAGATTAACTGCCAGTGACCTCAAGCGCATGATCTGTCCCAAGTAAAGATGAAAAAGGCTTTCACTGGTTTGCGGTCCCAAACCCTCCAACATACAGCCCACAAATTATCTGATTGAAATACTTCCTCCTTCCCGTTTTTTGATGTGTTTGTCGTCACGCAGGAAATTTCATCAGTGTTGAACATTGACTCACGGTTTCAATTAATATGAAACAAGTAGTAGAACAGTCCTTTGTTATTAGCTCCGTGGAGTTTAAAAGGTCTTAACATTTTGTTTTGTTTCCTTGTGAGTGAGACACCGCTTTCAGGAATATCATGGCTGGGGACACCAGAAATGGGCTTCACACATTCTACCCATGTGGGAATCGAACCCAGGACATCGGCGTGACGAGCGAACGCTTTAACCACCTTCCCCTGAACATAGTGTGTCACTTAAAAGAGCCGACTGAATGAGGTCTCTTCTTTAATCTTCTTTCCTTGATTCATTAATTCCTATTTACTAACTTTACCATATAGCCTATACATTATATGTTATATTTGGGCTTATATTTTCTCGGTAAAGCACAAATTTTAGCAATTGTATTTTTTCTAGCCTCGTGCAGGATTCTAACCTACACTTTCAGAATAAGGCATCTAATCGCCAGCACCCAAATCGAGGGCTCTAACCCCCTCGGCCACATATCCCCGGAAATGGAAGTCTGACAACTACTTGCCTTGATCGTAATTTGTGTACTGCCCCATCCATCAACATGTTACATTCACAGGCGGATCAGGGAGAGAGAGAGGGCAAGGGGATGTTTCCAGGGGTGCGCATCCCCCTCCCCCCCTTTTTTATCCTGAAAGTGTATTAAATGACCATTGAAACTCTCATGGAAATGAAGTGTGCACACCCCGTTTCTCAAGAGTGTGCGCTTCTCAAAAAGCTGTATCCGCCCCTGTACATAAAACAATTTTCTGAAAGGCATGTGTGATGTTATACATTATTATTTCAGATTATCATTATCATTTCAGATAACATATTATCTCTGTGCGTTACTTCCACACTATTCATAGAGATGTAACGATAACATGACACCAAGTTGTCTTAATAATATCCGCATAAAGGACACTCATGTGCATCGATTCGTATTTACTAACGTTAGCATGCAGCTATGGCTATATGTTATATCTGGGCTATGTGTTATATCTGGCTACGTGTTATATCTGGGCTATATGTTATATCTGGGATATGTGTTATATCTGGCTATGTGTTATATATGGGCTATGTGTTATATCTGGGCTATATGTTATATCTAGGCTATGTGTTATATCTGGGCTATGTGTTATATCTGGGCTATGTGTTATATCTGGGCTATATGTTATATCTGGGCTATGTGTTATATATTGGCTATGTGTTATATCTGGGCTATACGTTATATCTGGGCTGTGTGTTATATCTGGGCTATGTGTTATTTCTGGGCTATGTGTTATATCTGGGCTATGGCTATAGGTTATATCTGGGCTATGTGTTATATCTGGGCTATATGTTATGTCTGGGCTATGTGTTATATCTGGTTATGTGTTATATCTGGGCTATATGTTATATCTGGGCTATGTGTTATATCTGGGCTATATGTTATATCTGGGCTATGTGTTATATCTGAGCTGTGTGTTATATCTAGTAATTTTGGGATTGAGTCTCATATGGGTTTCGATTGTACATATGGCAAGAAGCTGACTTGTTGATTTCCTCTTAAGGATTCTGTTATACTGTGTATCAATATTGAAGACTGTGTCTTTTTAACTCTAAATCAGTTTATTAGGAAACGTGCCATGTTAAAAGATCGCCGGTGGACACTGAACAATTTGATTGGTGTACAGTGTATTAACATCTCTCGTATAATTATCGTACATGTATTGAGTGAGTGAGTTTAGTTTTACGCCGCCTTTAGCAATATTCCAGCTATATCATGGCGGGGGACACCAGAAATGGCCTTCACTCATTGTACCCATGTGGGGAATCGAACCCGGGTCTTCGGCGTGATGAGCGAACGCTTTAACCATTAGGCTACCCTACCGCCCCCGCATATGTATTGAATACACAATGCCATTTAGAAAGTGGTCAAATGTATCATATGATATTCTTGGGAATATATTGTCTCAGTACAGATTCTTGTACTTTTGTTGGGTTGAGTCCCAACCGGGATTCGAACTCACCCTCTCAGATTCAGGCATCGAGATCACCCCAAATCAGCTGTCTAACTTAACATGCATTGTATGTATTTTAGTGAGGGAGTCAAATGAATTTTCGAGAAAATGTTGGGTTTGGAACAATGTTGTGCATGGTTTCATTGAGGACATAGAAACCTGATAACCTGATACATACCCGGACCTGTGAGGAAAAAGAAATAAGAATATTTAACATTTGTATATAGCATATTTGATGCAAATAGACACTCTCTTGAATTTCCTCAAACATGAATCCCGTTTGACGTAAAAAGCAAAACTATTTGAAACATTTGAAAATATAAGAAAATCAGTATTGACGTCATGTTTTTGAAAATGGTAAACATCTTCACAAAAACGTTAGCACCAATGTATTTGTAAATAATCGGATCTGGACCAGACAACCCAGTGATCAACAGCATGATCATCGATCTGCGCAGTAAACCGATGACGTAGTGTCAACCAAGTCAGCGAGCCTGACCACCCGATCCCGTTCATCGGCTCGTACGACATGCATGGGTTACTGAAGATCAATTTTAATCCTGACCTTCACTGGTTTAAAGCTACTGATGGAGGGAGAAACTATGACGTTGATCAAACCACAAACTCCTCAACCACATTATTTCTATTTCTGCTCAATCCTTCCTACAATGCTAATTCCCTAAATGCTATTATGGATGATGGTAAGTCACTCGAAGTTACCCAACAACGATTCTGTTCCATAACACGACCCAGTAGCCACCGTCCATGAACCTGTCTCAGATATGATCCTGTTCCTGAATGCGACCCAGTAGCCACCGTGCCTGAACCTGACTCAGATATGATCCTGTTCCATAAAACGACCCAGTAGCCACCGTTCCTGAACCTTACTCAGATATGACCCTGTTCCTGAATGCAACCCAGTCGCCACCGTCGCTGAACCTGACTCAGATATGATCCTGTTCCTGAATGCGACCCAGTAGCCACCGTCCATAAACCTGACTCAGATATGATCCTGTTCCTGAATGCGACCCAGTAGCCACCGTCCCTAAACCTGACTCAGATATGATCCTGTTCCATAACACGACCCAGTAGCCACCGTCCATGATCCTGACTCAGATATGATCCTGTTCCATAACACGACTCAGAAGCCACCATCCATGAACCTGACTCAGATATGATCCTGTTCCTGAATGCAACCCAGTAGCCACCGTCCATGATCCTGACTCAGATATGATCCTGTTCCTGAATGCGACCCAGTAGCCACCGTCCCTGAACCTGACTCAGATATGATCCTGTTCCATAACACGAGCCAGTAGCCACCGTCCATGAACCTGACTCAGATATGATCCTGTTCCATAACACGACCCAGTAGCCACCGTCCATGAACCTGACTCAGATATGATCCTGTTCCATAACACGATCCAGTTGCCACCGTCCATGAACCTGACTCAGATATGATCCTGTTCCTGAATGCAACCCAGTAACCACCGTCCATGAACCTGACTCAGATATGATCCTGTTCCATAACACGACCCAGTAGCCACCGTCCATGAACCTGACTCAGATATGATCCTGTTCCTGAATGCAACCCAGTAGCCACCATCCATGAACCTGACTCAGATATGATCCTGTTCCATAACACGACCCAGTAGCCACCGTCCATGAACCTGACTCAGATATGATCCTGTTCCTGAATGCAACCCAATAGCCACCGTCCATGAACCTGACTCAGATATGATCCTGTTCCATAACACGACCCAGTGACTATACATACCTTCAGGGTGAGCTTGGCGAGTACATGTTCGCTACGGTTTGTGATTACTACTCTTCTTTGTCTCGTTTTTATTTTTTTTAACATTTAAAAACATATGCTCCCCATTGTCTTTTCAAAACAATTCTTTCAACACGAGGCCATGAATGTTGTAAGCTCCGAGCTTGAAAATGCTCTCAGTGAGTGTCATTATATACTGTTCACACTTTGCTAAGGATCAAATCATGGATTCAACAGAAAACTATCATGTTGGGGTCAAATTTGGTTTTAAATATCTAAGCTAATTGGACCCTAAGGTTTCAGTATGCCCTTCATCTTGTGGAACCCATACCTGCTATTGACAGGTGTTGTGTACTTGTCAATGACTCGTTCCATTTGGTGTGACTTGTCAATGACTCGTTCCATGATTTGCAAAATGGTTGATTGGGCCAATGAAAACCATTTTTGTGGTTACTCAAAGTGCATAAGGTTAGATTAAAGTTAGATTGCATATGGTTTTACGCCGCTTTTAGTTCCAGATTTTCGGCGGGGACAGTGACTGATTGCCATGTGGGGAAAGAACACGGGTTTTCGGCGTGAAGCTTTAACCACACTACCCGCCGCCCGATTGCCCAAGAGGGTAGCCATAATAGCACAAACAGATATTTTGTCTTACTTCTACAGAGGCTCCACTGCTTTGATGCCTATCTTGTATTGTCCTGCAGAGTTTGATATTGTCAGTTTAAAACTCGCTTTAAAACCACTTTGCGGTCACTTAGCTACTTCGTTGTAGATTGACGCCTAAGTAGATATGTGTATAATGGTTGCTAATTATGATATACATGTTTTATGTGATGACTATCAGTATTTTGTTAACAACAAATGAGAGTGCGGCAAGACAGATGAGTTCACGATAGCACATATCAAGCTTGTGGATCATTGAAATGCTGTAGATTCTTGTCAGGGAAATAGGTATGCATTTCACACTGATTGTGTCTTATTAGTTTGTAGGAAGAAGGTGTTCTCAATAAAAGACAACTTTGAACAGGAACACAGAAGATAATGACATAAGTAGCGGTGGACGATAATACCGGTTAACCGGTATATTGCAATTCGAACTTCACAACATGATATATTGCGGTACATTTTTCGCGAA